ACGTACGCTCTTAATGGCTTTTGGGCTATATTCGACCGCGTGACGTATTGGATTCGTTCTTTTTTTTTTAAATAAAAACTTCTTTAACGCCATTGCGATTTGCAAGTCGATGAAACAAAAAAAAATTATTACACTGAAAAGAGACAGACGTCTACAGGATTTAGTATGCGCGAGAATGAGATGGAATACTGCGAATGCGTCCTATCACTGAATTTTTCCATATTCCCGCAAGTAGAACAAACCTCCTTAGATATTCCTCTTTCTCAAAGATTTGTAGTGATTATAACCAAATATGTGCATTAATTGACGGCATCGATATTTTTAACGACACGTGTCCTGGTCTCAGAAATAAACTAGTATCCAAGTTCCTTTGTTTATAATTGACGAGAGAATGTTAAGTAGTTAACTCTTGTTTTCATGTTATTTTCAAATATATATTTTTTTGTCGTACTGTTAACATATAAATTTAGCCTATTTTTCCGCTGTTTGTAGAATTGCTGTAACATGTCATAGTTTGTTATAAGAGATTGCTGTACATGCCTGTAACTGGCTTACATACCAGTACTTAATTATATACATGTTAATTTTAAGCTTGAATGTTTTGTGTGTATTGCTGTTGGTGTGTCTAAATAAATAAATGTGCTTGCGGGCAGTATATTTTATTTTTAACCGACTTCAAAAAAGGAGGAGGTTCTCAATTCGACTGTATGTTTTTTTTATTATATTTAAACTCTTTCACTGTTTTGCATGTACTTTATCTCTATTTGTTTTTTTTTATTGCCCTCAGCCCTATTTAGTCAGACGAGCATACAGCCCACCAGATAGTGAGTGGTTATTGTCGCCTATGGACTGCAGCAATGCCAGGGGCAGAGCTAAGCCGCTGCCGCTGCCGCTGCTTTCCTCTCTTACGTTTCGGGTAACTAAACTTACATGTAAAACGCACATGGGCTTAGCTTTAACGGGCAGCTTCGTAACGTGTGGCTCGCAGGGGTCAATCCGAGTCAAGATCAGGAGATTAAGGATGATTTTTTTATTAAACACTTGAGATTAAAATTACCCGCACAGGTTTGTAGCGTAATGCTATTTTAATCCATCGTGGAGGAATATGTGGCGGTAGCAATCATATATTAGAACTCAAGATATTTGATAGATAGATGCTTGAATTTCGCTCTATAAACTCCGACCTTGATATAATTCAAAGACAGCGCTGTGTTCATACCATTACTAACGCATGAGCGACGGTAGTCACTCACCATCACGGACCGTACTCTCTGTCTACACAGACCAAAAAAAGAACTCTCTGTCTACAGAGACAAAAAAAAGAACACGAATTCCCATCGCACTAGTTCAGGATCTCCCGTGCTGAGCTGAAGAAACATAACTCTATGTCACACTCGATTGAGATAACAGTACAACGTTTCACTTAAATCCCTTGACCTTTTCAAAAACTAAAGGACTCAAAACAAAAAGCCACGATAATTAAGAAATTTAATTTAAAAAAAAAAAACGTTCCCTTAATTTTATCTAACTGTAGATTTGCCAGCGTCACAAATCGATAGACAGCGGTTTGAAAAAAAAAAACAAAAAGAAATTAATCAAACACGTTCAAAGTCCGACGACAGAGTAACGAATGAGGACTCAAAAGTAAAATTATAGAACTTAACTGTTTTTTTAATAGAAATATTTTTTTTCATAGCTTTCTTCGTCTGCAGAACCCGTAGGGGTGGGAAATCATAAAAATCCACCGTAGATTTTTTTTATTTATTGCCTTTTGAAAACTGACGAGCGCAAGACTCGACAGACGCTCATGGATATTAGCAACTCCAGGGCCACTGCAACTAGACTACCTGTACGATAAACTCTCTTTTTCTTCTACCTATTATTCTATTTCTGCGAAGTCATCTAGAAGACGTCGCGGCCTAAAGCCTAGCAATGCAACTGTGTTCGGATCCCGCAGGCGGGTGCCAATTTTTGTAATGAAATACGCACTTGACAAATGTTCACGATGGGCTTCCACGGTGAAGGAATAATATCGTGTAATAAAAATCAAACCCGCAATAATTATAATTTGTGTAATTACTGGTGGTAGGACCTCTTGTGAGTCCGCATGGGTAGATACCACCACCTTTCCTATTTCAGCCGAGAAGCAGTAACACGTTTCGGTTTGAAGGGTGTGACAGCCGTTGTAACTATACTGAGACCTTAGAACTTATATCTCAAGGTGGGTGGTGCCTTTTACGCTGTAGATGTCTATGGGCTCCGATAACCACTTAACATCAGGTGGGCCGTGAGCTCGCCCACCCATTTAAGCAATAAAAAAAACGCAATATATCAATTAATATTTTCTACGTTTCATATTGTGAAATGAAATAAGTATAGGGATGTAGTTGGTACCGCTAATATTTTCCAGCAGCGTAATTTACGATCAGTAAGAATGTAAAACTAAGAAACTCCCTTTTTTAAAGTCAGCTAAAGCAGGGTGAAATTCATCACACATCCGACATCGGGTCGTCACGGTTAATAATTCTAAATTAAAACGAACTAATTCATTATTGTTTTTTGTTTGTTACGCGTCAATTTTACTGTACCAATTTTCCGATTTGCTTTTGCAATTTTCAAGTGTGACTAATACGTACGTGTTTTGGATCGGAGTTAATTTATTTTATGGCTTCCATAACGAAACGCGCGCTAGCTTCCTTATGGGTCGCCATCGTTAGGTGTTCATACCCTACGTGTGCCATTCAAGTATGAATTTGAACAAAGCGTGATAAATAAGTAGACTTGTGTTAAAGAAATACCAAATGGTAAACAGTCGACGTCGCTCTAAGCACGTCATTTAGGATCCTCGCGATCCATTAACGGTGCTTTTAGGTACCTCAAGCACCGGTCATCGTTCTCGTCGAACCCGTCGCTTGCGACGAAAGGTTCGGAGAGTAAATTAACCCTCTGTGTGTGGTTTAATTTTCGTTCTTTGGATATAAGTTGTCGTTTCAGGATTAAAAAAAGCAAATACATATTATACATAGGTACATTTTAGGTGCCTTAAGTTTTTGAAGTTACAACGCGAGTACTTAATTGTTTTTTTTTGTTCCTATCTAAGCTGGTAACCGAGCGAGTAGATGAGCTCACGGGGCTCTAACCTGAGTTGCTAACACTAGCCCTAGCAAGAGCAGTGCTTCGCAGAATCAACCACCGGATTGGAATCGCAACCCATTAAGAAGACCTAACGAGAAACTCAGTGGGTTCTGTCTATGGATTAGTTCGCACGTCGAACTCTTTACGTCGGACGTTGACCGGTGCTTAAAGACCTTAAAAGCACCAAAAATGGTTGCTATAGTTTTTCTTCGTCGTCGTGACCGGTAAAAAAAAGTTCATATTAAAGCATTTATTTTCACAGACTTGTGTCTCTTTGAAATCGACGTATAGTGGTCCAACAAAAACCTCACCTACACCCTGAGGGCTGTCAAACTGACATCTGTCAGAGCATTGTGTATTCTCGTGAAATTTCGTGCGTTGTGGTGACAACACATCTCTACTCACAAAGGAGGATGTAATTTGACGTAATTAATTTTATATTTTCGATGCATAGCCTCGAGGTTTGACAGAAGGTAGACGAGAGGCCAAAAATTTTCCTTGACTTTTTTTTTCACTTTAAATAGATTGAAGTTGAAAGTTATGTATGTAAAGTTTTTTTTTTTTAATAATCTTCGTAAGCAAAGGAATCTTGCAAAAAACTACAGAAATCGTATGACGGTTAAAAAATGAGTTTAGCTAATTCATTCTTACTAGTTTTAGGGCGTCTTGTGATGATGGTTAGGTACCATAACCCTGAATATTTCTGGCGTGAAACCAACTTGAAGTTCCACTTTGAAGGGCGAGGCAGCCATTGTACGAGGTATTTAAAAATCTTGGACTTAGAATTCATGGCTCAAGGTCGATGACGAAATTTACATATTATGTTGTTGTTGTTATTGTTGTTGTTGTTGTTGTTGTAGGTTCCGGTAATTATTTAACATTAGGTCAACTGTGAGTTCGTTCACACTTCTAAGCAATAAAAAGGTAAAAAAATATCTTGAACTTTCTTCCAGCAAATTCCTAAAAGAGGATGTATCCATTAGGTATAATTACGGTCAAAAGTGTTCAATCTTTTTTTTTTCAAAAACATACGTCGGATTTATAGAGTTTGCTAAGTTTTGTAGGTATATACCTAGTTAGTAGTAAGCATGTCAGTTCATGAAACAAAAATCGATACTTTCGATTTATTTGTCATTCAAATTGTTAACGTCGTTTACCTAGTGGATTGGTGTTTTTTGGCTGTATTCAATAAACTGTGTAATAAAAAAAACAATGTTGCCTAAAATAAACACCAAAAGGATTAAAATGAATCGAAGAACATTTTCAAACAAACGAAACAGGCATTCCGCGTTTACGCTGTAATCGAATTCTGAAAGAGATCATCGCCCTTTCGCAAAGTTCGCTATTCAAAATACGAATCACGTTTTTATCGACTCCCGTCTATACCTTGTGACGTTTAAAGAAAACACTACGAACACAAAAAAAAAAACAAAGCATTACATCGAATGTGTTCCTTTGAGCCTCTTCAAATATCGACAAAAACTAACAACAGAACAATGAGATGCGCTCGCGCAAACCCGCCGCTACACACGGAATAGGAACTCAAACATTAAACCATTTGAACGTCACATGTAACTGCTCACTTAACCCTACAATGGCCATAAAGAATTACAATTAATCGCTGCGACGNCTTAACCCTACAATGGCCATAAAGAATTACAATTAATCGCTGCGACGAGAAATGCCACCGCGCGGGAAAAAACGTCAAAATATTGTCCGAGAATGCGACCGCGAGCCCCCGGTGGGGGCTACCGGGGAGCCAATGGGGAGGCGTCGCGGGGACCCGCTACCGCTTTTTGGCCAATGACGTTACCCCGGGGCGGAGCCTCGAGCTACGCAGCGCGTTTCGCCCCCAGCGAAAACCTTTTCGCCTGCAGTCGTTTACAGATAAGCCCGCGGGATGGTCGATTATTATTACATTTCGTACGCGTGATCCTGTGCTCTACGCGAACCGCCCGAGGCGTTTGTCGAATCGATAGCAATGCACAAAGCCGAGAGCCGGCCAATAAGTTCCGAATGTTTACAACCTTCGTCGTTTCTGTGATATGGGAGAGATATTTTGTGCTTTCTGTGATAAATACGTTTGCCTTCGTTTAGATACATAGATTAGCGGCGGCATGAACTTATACATGCAGTGTCATCGTGAGGTAAGTTTGTTCCGGTATTTTCCTGTATAGCTTCATTGACCCTGTTATAAACTAAACTAAAAATATTTATTAACAATGTGTAATGTGGCCAGCGTTAAGTGGCAAGGAGTAAAATTGAGATAAGTATCTAGCTTTAATTCGTCAGTTAAATTAACAAATTTAATTAAAAAGTTTCATTATTGTGTCAAAAATTATTAAAGTGTTGTTTTTATTTTATATTTTTTGAATACTTATCAGACTTATAATACAACGGAACTAGTCATTATAGAAAACATTCTAAAAGAAAAACGCAAAGGGATTTGAAACATCAACCTTGAGTCGACGACAATATTCGATTTAACTATTTTTAATATTACACACTATACCTAGTTTATAATTAATATTCTTTATATAATTGAACCCGTAGCTACATTTTACGACATTAGCGTACCTACATGTGTTTTAATTAATAAGTATTGAATATCTATGAAAATAAACAACCACGGCTAGTGATATATAAATAATTTTGTAATTAAAATCCTATAATATGTATTTCGGTTAATATTTTTAGTTTATATGTAACTTAAAAAAACTTACCTCCGAACAATACCCCTAATATCAGACTTCGGTTCAGTAAGATGGACCTTGGGAGTTTTAGTAAAAAATATTTTATACTCTCAAATACAATACTCAAGTAATCCATCTAAAACACACTGGTGGTAGGACGTCTTGTGAGCCCGCACGGGTAGGTACTAACCACCGCCCTGCCTATTTCTGCTGTGAAGCAGTAATGCGTTTCGGTTTGAAGGGCGGGGCGTTGTACTGTAAAAGCTGAGACTTCGAACTTATGTCTCAAGATGTTAACTCGTCCCCACCAATCTGCGCAATAAATAAAAAAAAACAAAAAAATTGTGGTTCCGAATATGCATAATATGACATTCTGTTAAACTTTTTTTTTAAGAAATTTTATGACCTGGTAACTAAGACCTTATTAGGTCCTTAGGTCATGTCTTATTTTAATTTTTAATATAATTTTTATGAAACATGATATGGAGTGAAATGTAATGAAGATGATTAATTTGAGACATTAATCAACCGGGATGAAATAAAATAAAATCAGATGAGATGATATGGGATAAAATACAATCTCCGTAAAATGGTGGTCATTAACTGAGATTTTTTCAGTGGACTTTTTGGAGGATTCCGTAAAGTTACGTCCAGCGGTTTTATTTCATTTTCCCACATTTGTGCACTTTCACAGATATTAAACAGTTAATAAATCACCGATATTACACATTTAAACCTGAAGAAACACTAACTAGACAAAATAAAACAAATCACACAACATCATTCCTCGCGTTCCCGCCAAAAAGTCTGGATGAAATATAAAAAAATAAAAACACCACAGATAATTCATAGACATTAAGATACATAGAGTAATTACAGTGTTCGGTCTTTAAGAAATGAATTTAGCAAATTAAATAAATCTGTAGATACTTACATTTGTTTGTCCTGATTCGACCAACAACTCTATTTTGTTCTATTATCGGAATTTATGTGGTAGGTATAACATTAATGAGAGATCCCATTCCACGACGCCCCTCATGCGGCCAATGATCGGAGGCGCTGGCGGGACATTACAAGGAGCAAAATCCTGTCGACATACAATGGTCTCGACCCTCAGCAGTGAGGAAACGATGCGAAGAGAGAACATTAATAAAATACATATGAAAATATAAATGATGTTTTGTGTTGTTACTAACATATAAGTTACGTTCGGTTGAGTTGCGTTTAAGATTGAAAAATCAGCGTAAGTTTAAGACGATGATTTAGATACTCAATTATATAATTTATTTTTAAATCTCAAAGCTCGTGCATGATTGGAATTAATGCAGTTGTAATGTTTTTAATAATGTTGATCGATCCAATCGACTAATTTTGTTCTAAAATCAAGAAAAGGTATTTGTAATCGACTCTTACACGATCAGATTGCCGCCATTTTTTATTTTTCATTTACAAATTTTAATAATCATTGTTAGCGCTCAATACAGTACGTGCGTATCGAGGTAGTTACTGTCAACGCTTTAAGCTGCTTTCAGACTACGCTATACTATAGTGCCATATAGTATTGCATAGTAAGTAAGTATAGTATAGTAAGCCTATAATATATAGTACAGTATGAACGTGTCCATAACAATGTATGGTGTGCGATATTGTTGTGCTATGAGCTATATCAGTGATTCTCAACCACTGTTCCGCGGCACTTTTGTGTGCCGCGAAATTTCAAAAGTGTGCCGCCAAATTTTGCCAATATATACCTAATGATGTTAATGTTATTAAAACATATCAAATATTTTTTATTTATTATTAGCTTGTAATTAATCCCTTTTTAAACGTTTAAATATTATTAAAGCATATATTAGTTTATTTCGTATATTTAATGTTTTTTTATAAACGTTTTATGCAGTGTTTTAGAAAGTAAATAGTTTAAATGTTTTTCTTTGTGTGCCGCCAAATTTTAAAATCGTTTAATGTGTGCCGCCAAATTTTAAAATCGTTAAATATGTGCCGCAACAAATAAAAGGTTGAGAATCACTGAGCTATATACTATATGCTATTATATTATATCGTAGTCTGAAAGCAGCAGCTTTAACGTTAGCGTCGATTTTTATTAAACAACTAGCTGACCCGGCAGACTTCGTAGTGCCTCAATCGATAAATAAAAGATCTAAACTTTTGTGTAAAATAAACTTAAGACAAACAAAAAAAAAACCGTCCGACGGGGGCACATCAAAGGGAAAACAAAATTGTTATTTTTATTTAATTCCGAGAATTTTCGTATTTATCTACCTTTGAAACCTTCTCTGGACTTCCACAAATAATTCAAGACCAAAATTAGCCAAATCGGTCCAGCCGTTTTCGAGTTTTAGCGAACCTAACGAACAGCAATTCATTTTTATATGTATAGATATATAGATAATTCTGGTTTCTTTAGAATATTTGCCAAAATCAGCGGAGGCAAGTTGAACGCAACTCCCGATCCAATTCCAACTGAGATATCCCCTTCCCCTCGCCATCCTACATAACCGACCGTAGATGCTCTGAACCTAAAGGTATCTGTACCAATTGCCTATTTCTGCCGCGAATCTACAATTCGACTTCACAGCAGACTACACCACATACGACCTTGAATCTATTTATCGATCTGCGATGTTATAAACAGTTTTTTCAAATAATAACTTGAAATAATTATTAAGGTATACTTTAAATGTGTGGATTAATAATACAATTAAATGATGTGTTAACGTAAGAAACTTAGTTCGCTTCACTAAGCAAGCATAAATCGAGATGTCTTTTTTTAAATTGTTTAGATGGATGGATGAGTTTACAGCCCACCTGATGTTAAGTGGTTACTGGAGCCCATAGACATCTATAACGTAAATGCGCCACCCACCTTGAGATATGAGTTCTAAGGTCTCAGTATAGTTACAACGGCTGCCCCACCCTTCAAACCGAAACGCATTACTGCTTCACGGCAGAAATAGGTGGGGCGGTGGTACCTACCCGTGCTGACTCACAAGAGGTCCTACCACCAGTAATTAGGCAAATTATAATTTTGCGAGTTTAATTTTTATTACACGATGTTATTCCTTCACCGTGGAAGTCAATCGTACACATTTATTATGTACGTATTTCATTAGAAAAATTGGTACCCGCCTGCGGGATTCGAACACCGTTGCATCGCTAGATACGAATGCACCGGACGTCTTATCCTTTAGGCCATGACGACTAGTAAAACTGCCTGTCTATAGGATTACCTACACATGTTTTCTCTTCTTCGCTGCTTGAATAATAGACAATTGACACCAAACACTCTATATCTACCACGGTAATTATCTTATAACCAATTTCGATAGTGATTTTTTAAATAAGGCCCGATTTATATGTATCGCAAGGTGTAGACACAATTAACCTTATAAGCGCGAACCGTCGATAGATCGACTCTCTCCTAATGCGTATAAAGTGCGGAGCGTCGGAATACCGACTATTTGCGTGGTTTTATTATAGGTATTAGATACCGACCAGTTAAGTAACGCTTAGCATTGATTTTTGTTTTTTGTTTTAAGATTAAAGATTATTTTAAGGTATCTACTACTTTTCATAAATGTTTTAGTGATTTCTGCAAAATATGTGAAAATAAACTCACCACTAAAAGGGTTAAAACTACTTTGCGATCTAATCATGTTTTTCTCATTGTCATCATTTTATTTGAAACGTTTCGAATATATTTCTGACACTCGCCTTACTTACCTCAAGCTGCTAATCGTTCGTTCTGTGTAAAATGAAACGTAAAAAAATCAAGGAGTTATTCTCCATGGAAAACCAGACGGTAGATCACGCAATATCGAAATGACTACAAGAGCAGCTTTGTTATTCGCGACCATGAAAACTGTAAAGTAATCGAAATATCGGAAATAATGCTAAGATTGCGAGAAAACAAACGCAAGATTAAATCGTAAAAGATACTTTTAAACATATTTTACGGATAGTAAGCTTATAGTATTTCGGTAATATACGTACCTACGCATATATTTCTTTGTGGAGGTTTTATTTTTCCTACCTGTGCTGATAGCCTTGAGAGGCTATTTCAGCTTCACCCTAACGTGTAGGTGAGCTCACGGGGCTCAAACCTGAGTGTTGTTAACACTGGCCCTAGCAAGAGCAGTGCTTCGCAGGATCTACCACCGGATCGGAAACGCAACCACTGAGAAGATCCGGCGAGAAACTTAGTGGGCTGTGTCTATGGGTTAATTCGCTCTCGCTAAATAAGTTAATTCGGGTTTGACGAGGAGACGGTGACCGGGTTGTGGAGGTAATTCGTGAACCAAGTACGTATTTCATTAGAAAAAAAATAATGCAGGTACCCGCTTGCGAGATTTGAACATCGGCACTGTCGCATCGCTCGATATTAACGCACCTGACGTCTTATTCTTTAAGCCACGACGACATCCCTAAAAACT